TAGTAACAGGCAAGATAAGTAAAAAATAAACTTTAAAATGTGCAAGGGCGGAAAAAAAAAAACAGGCTGGGGGAAGAGATGGCTGCATTTTTCACCGTCTTCCTGATGAAAAGTACTCAAAAGCTTGAAAATTTATATATCGTTTTGTTAACCTGATTAAGATACTACGTCAAGAGCTTTGCAGGGTTTTTTTTTTTTTAGGATTGCTTTTTTTTTAGTTTGCAAAAAAAAAAAACTTTGGCAAAACGTGGACTGGTTTGGAATTACAAAATAAGGTCAGAACACGTTTGATAGCCGGGGAAATGAGAGACAGTTTTTGGAAATCAGGGTTGCAATCAATGTGGAGGAGATGCCTTTTAAAACCCAAAAGACCCTCGCCACTAAGCCTTGCTGCCAATTCCCGAAGGCCCCTATTGTATGGGTCAAGCATTTGTTCCCTGCCGCTGTACCCTGTGTTCCAGAACCTCCTTTTTTTTCCCTCCCTCTTTCATTTCGACCTCGTTACCCCTGGCAGGGATAAAAAAAACCCAACAACCTCTTTTTATTTCCAAGGCAGGCTAAACGGTAATCCGAGATGCTGAATACTCAGTCTGAATCCGTGCCCTGTTTTAAGGGGGCTTCAGCAGACCTGAAAGCTCAGGAGCCTTTCAAAGGGCCAATTTCTCAGCCTTGGACCATGGGGCACCTTAAGACGGGAAGTTGCATGGCGCTGGCTGGCAAAGCCACGTTTTTGTGAGCGTTTCTCTGCTGCAAAAGGACCGGAGGACGTCCGAGGAAGTAGGAAAAAGGAGCTGTTGTCATTGAGGGTGGGCAGAGAGAGAGAGAGAGAGAGAGAGAGAGAGATCTCTGGTTTGCTTTTTAAAGAAGTGTTGGAATTATATTCTTAGCTTTTGTTGACTGTTAAACAGGAGGGCTTTAATGCAAGCTTGGAGCTGCGTGCCAGTGATTTTAAATAGAGCGGGTTTTGTATGGAAGAGACCAGTGCTTCTGCCAAGATTTGGCCATCTGCCTTCCATTGAGGGGAAGGTCTCTGGAGATGGATAAAGAGGAGGAGGAGGAGGAGGAGGAGGAGGAGGAGGAGGAGGAGGAGGAGGAGGAGGAGGAACAAGAAGAAGAAAAACAAGAAGAAAAACAAGAAGAAGAGGAAGAAAGAAGAGGAAGAAGAAGAAGAAGAGGAGGAGGAGGAGGAGGAGGGGGGGGATTGTTCAGGTTATGTAGGGAGATATCTTTCATATGAACTTCTCCTCCTTCTCCTTCCTTCTCCTCCTCCTCTTTACCTCCTTCTCTTTTTCCTTCTCCTTCTCCTCCTTCTCTTTCTCCTTTTCCTTCTCCTCTTCCTCTTTCTCCTCCCCCTCCTCTTCTTCTTTTTTTCCTCCTCCTCCTCTTTCTGCTTCTTTCCTCCATCTCATCCTGCTTCTCCTACTCCTCCTTCTCCTCTTTTTTCTCCTCCTCCTCCTGCTTCTTTTCCTCCTCTTCCTCTCCTTCCTCTCCTGCTTCTTCTTCTTCCCTCCTCCTCCCCCATTACCTAAGTATGGATGAACCTTCTTTTTGGATTCCTCACAGTTCCTTGAGATGTAAATCGGATGGGCTACGTTCACACACCAATGCTAATGAGGCAGAATTTAAACCCAACTTGGACTCTAGGGAGCTAAAGCGGGTCCTCGCTTTGTGAGTCTTAGGAACACAGCCATTGGCTAAGAGTGCCTGCCCAGGGTTGTGTGTCCAGTTTGGGGATTCAACTGGAGACCTCCTGCATGGAAAGATCCTACCCCCTTCTCCCCCAATGATCTACCAGCTTTTCTTTCCCTTGTTGTCTAAAGGAGATTGGAAAGTCCTCAGGAAAGCCCTTGCCAAAATTTGTCTAGTTTCCACAAGCCATGCTAAAATGTGGTCTGTTTGTGGTTTAGCGTGTTTGGTAAACGCAGTTATTGAGAAGTAAGGTGGACCGAGGGCAAGGAATCTTCCGTCTGTCGTGAGCTTTGTCAGTGACCTCTTTTGGAACATCCAGGTCATCAATCGCCTCACTTAACCACAAAAGTGCCAGTCGCAATTGTGGGTGGAGGACCACATACTTGCAGTTTTGAATTGTTCGATTTTGCAAGCTTTCTTTTCACCAGCTGGTTGGGAAGCTTCCGCGAGAGGCGTTGCAGCCAATTGTGCAAATCCGTTTCTTGGCTCTTAAGTGCAGCTTCAAATTAACAGTAAATAGTTCCTAACCAGTTTATCTTACTAATGTAGCGGTGATACCTGGTCTAGCAAATGATTAAGTTATTTCTCCTCTGGCAGGGCGAGTTTGCTGCCAGAAGCCATGTGCAATTTTCAATGTCAGCCCCTTTCAACGGCCTTTTAAGATTTCAACACAGAATTAAAATAAATGCATTTTTCCCCCATATATCGCAGCTCAGGCATAAAAGAAGGGAAAGAATGATCCAGGCTTCATAAGGTAGCTTCTTCTAGAGAACATAGAATAATAGGCTTGGAAGGGACCTTGGAGGTCTTCTAGTCCAACCCTCTACGCAAGCAGGAGACCCTACACCAGGGGTCCCCAACTCCTGGTCTATGACCGGCATCGGTCCAGCAACCGGGCTGCACAAACAAGCAAAGCCCCATCCACAGGATGCAGGCAGTACACAAAACCACACCCCTTCTGGTCTGTGGAAAAACCTTTTTCCATGGCACCGGTCCCTGTTGCTCAAAAGGTTGGGGACCTCTGCCAAACAAATGGCTGTCCAGCCTCTTTTTGAAAGCATCCAGCGATGGAGCATCCACAACTTCTGGAAGCAAGCTGTTTCATTGGTGGATTGCTCTCACCATTAGGAAATTTCTCCTTAGTTCCAGGTTGCTTCTCTCCTTGGTTAGTTTCCGTCTGTTGCTTCTTGTCCTGCCTTCAGGGGCTTTGGAGAATAGCTTGAACCCCTCATCTTTGCAGGAGCCTCTCAAATATCGGAACGCTGCTACCATGTCTCCCCTAGTTCTTCTTTTCATCAGACTAGACATAGTCTAATGTATATAAATATAGATTAGATATATAGGTATATGCAGGTAGTTTTTAACTTGCAACCACAGTTGAGCCCAGAATCTACGTTGCTAAATGAAAACATCACTTTTCAGAATGGATATTGGAAATCTTTTTGAGCATTAGTTGCTTTGAAGAAGCCATTTATTCCTTAAGAATCCTCCAGCGTTCTGCGTTAGGGGTCCAAATGTGTTCAGGAATCCTTTGACTTGGCTTGGCAGAGAATACTCCCCTTTTTTCCCCAGACTGTTTTGAAACAATTATTCTCCCCTCTGATAACAGCCAGTTTGAGTGATTGTGGTGTGTTCCATCTCGGGTGGGCTTTAAAAATGGCCCCGAAGGATTCAGATCATTCAAAAGTGAGTTGCTGAATTGCGAACTAGGAATAGCTGAGATGAAGATTTAAAAATGCTAGTTTTTAGCTATATTGCAGGCACCGTGGGGCAGAACGGAGGGATGCTGGGGGAAGGAAGAAAGGCATATTGTGGTTTTTGAAAAGCCTAATTTGACTTGCACAGTCAAAGTGGGAACGCTATCAAAACTCAGCCCAGGCTTCAGCTGGAGCCGTTAACAGTCCCGCAGCGTTTAAGATCTCCCAGTTACAATTGAAACTCAGTTGTATATTCAAGTCTTGCACATCCTTAACCTCAGTTAAATGGTTGGTTTGATTTATGAGGGCTGCACAAATTCATTTAGTATTTTATGGGTCCTTGCAACTTTTTTTTTTAAAAAAAACCTCTGTTAGGAAGCCAAAACACTATTCAGATTGATCTAGGAATATCCCAAAAGCTTCACTTGAGGTCTTTCTCCAAAACCTCTTTCCAATTGAAGTGCCTATCTATCTTATGAAGCATAAGGCTGTCTTGGTTGGAAAAATCTCAGCAAAAGATTGAATACCCAAAGAATCTTGCCTTATTCTAGTCCTCAGCTTAACAACCATTCATTTAGTAATAGTTTGAAGTTACAACAGCACTGAAAAAAGTGACTTAGGACCAGTTTTCATACTTAGAACCAGTGCAGTATCCCCGTGGTCATTTGATCAAAATACAGATGCTTGGAAACTGGCATGTACTTATGACAGTTTCACTGTCCTGGAGTCATGTGATTACCATTTGTCATCTTCTCAGCTGGCTTCCGACAAGCAAAATCAAGGGGGGAAGCTAGCAACTGCAGTGATTTGTTTAACACCTGTGGCAAATGAAGGTGGTAAAACAGGATGCTTAACAATTTAACAAGGGGAAGTTTGGGCTCCATTGTGGATATAAGTCAAGGACTACCTGTATACTGGGTTTTTTTTAACACTCAGTACATCAGCGGTTCGCAACCTGTGGGTCGGGACCCCATTTGGGGTCAAACAACCATTTCACAGGGGTCGCCAAACAATGCAGTCCGCCATTTTTTCCCCCTTTTCCTTAGCTGTGCTACTCCCTTTTATTCTTTTGGCTTTTGAAAGCCAATAGAATAGACTCTCTTGAATAGAGTCTAATTCTATTGGCTTTCAACAGCCAACAGGAATTGTCCAGGCTGTCTCTGCCCTGCTGAGCCCGCCAAAAGTCCCATTCTGCAAACGGTGCTGCACCAGTTGAGTAGTCCTCGACTTACGACCGGTTGAGTAGTCCTCAACTTACAATCAGTTGGGGGTCGCAGCATTAAAAAGGTTGAGAACCACCGCAGTACATTATTTTATTTTCTCGGGATCCATATGGGACGTTACTCTTATGTTATTGCTTTGTTCCTGTGATTTTTTTCGCCGTGGTCTATTTCTCGCCATTAGTGCTGTAGCTCTTTTTTTTTTTTTAATATCCAGACAGCTAACTCTAATGTTGGTTTTATATTCTTTTTTCTTGTTCAGTTTCCTCAACTTATTTTATATATATAGGCTGCAGAACAGCTACTGGAACTGTATTCATTAACTGTAGTTCAGTCTCTGTTGACTAGTCAACCTTTTTGAAACTAATCAACTTTCGCTGTTCTTTTTTTACAGGATCAGCCTCTGAACCCTGACAAAGGCTTTGAAGCTCAGGTGAGTGCTTGAACTTTTCATTTCACACAAAAGGGGAAAATATTGTCTTAAAGTGATCAAGAATGGACACTCCTGCAATAAAGGAAGAATAGAATAGAGCTGGAAGGGACCTTGGAGGTCTTCTAGTCCAGCCCTCCACTTAACTTACGCCATCTCAGACAAGTGACTGTCTAGCCTCTTCTTAAAAATCTCCAGTGATGGGGTGCCCACAAATTCTGGAGGCGAGCTGTTCCACTGGTTAATTGTCCTCACTGTCAGGAAGTTTCTCCTCAGCTCCAGGTTGCTTCTCTCCTTGATCAGTTTCCAACCATTGTTTCTCGTCCTTTTGTCTGGTGCTTTGGTGAACAATGTGACCCCCTCGTCTTTGTGGCAGCCCCTCAAATACTGGAATATTGCTATCATGTCTCCCCTATTTCTTCTTTTCTTTAGACTAGCCAAATCCAAGTCCTGCAGCCGTTCTTCGTATGTTTTAGTCTCCAGGCCTTGGATCATCTTAGTTGCTCTTCTCTGAATTTTTTCAGAAAAATCAACAATGGAATTTTATGTACACGTTTTTATAGCTTACAACTTGGAGGCTTAATCGAAGCAACCAGTGGCCGAGAGATAGGATGTATGTCCCATTTTTCTTTTTACGGTCGGGCGGAAGTCAGTTTGCAGGCAAATTCAACAGGAATGTCAAATTCAATGGCAAAAAAAAAAAAAAATCTCGCTAACACTCTGTTGCTACTAGCTTCGTACATAGAACAAAGCACACGAGGATCTGTAATTAAGTAATAATCAACAACTTTCAAGAGGTTGAGTCATGAAGGCCTATTAAAATGGTTCACCAAGAGGTAATTCATAACAGCAAAATTGTAACTTGTAATTATTGTAAGGATGGGGGCGTTCTTTGATGCTGGAAGCCAAACTCTCCAAGGATGTTGGCTTCCGATGAGCAAACCAATGCTTGGCTACAGATTTCTCAGTTTTCTCCTCTAATTCCTGGGGAAGATTTTAGTTTCGAATCACAGGTCGTTTTCGTTTAGTGACTGCCTCATTTAGCAACTGTTTGGAGTTACAACAGTGATGGAAAAGTCATTTGGCAAACAATCCTTGCATTTACAATCTTCGCAGGTCAGGAAAGCAAAGAAAAACCAAAGCCATATCCTAAACACATAAAAGGGCCAAGTTTGAAGACCTCTGATTGGGAGCAGAAAATTCATTGTTCAGCAGTATACAGTATACAGGTAGTCCTTAATTTACGACCACAGCTAAGCCCAAAAATTCTGTTGCTAAGTGAGTCAGTTGTTAAGTGAATTTTGTTCCATTTTGTGACCTTTCTCGCCAAAGTTGTTAAGTGAATCTGCTTTCCCCATTGTCTTTGCTTGTCAGAAAGCAAAAGATGATCACATGACCTCGGGACACTGCGACCGTCCTAAATATGAACCAGTTGTCTGAATATTGATCGTGTGGCGATGGGGATGCTGGAACCGTCGTAAGTGTGAAAAACGGTCATGCTTTAGAACATTAGAAGGAGGCTATAAATACTTAACGGAAGCTTCTGATATTCCACATGAGCCCGTTGAAAAGAACTTGATCTCGTTATATAAAATGAATCTGAAAAATCTGGAGCACCAAATTAAATGCAGGGAATATAATTAAAGCCATAAATACTTGGGCTGTTCCGATTCGTCAGTATACTGCAGCTATAATTGATCGGGCACAAGCTGAATGAGACAGCCTTGATTGGGAAACCAGAAAATGAATGACAGCGAATCATTCAGTTTTCTTTCCAGGAGGCGACGGCGGCTGGCTTTACTTTGTCAGAAATAAAGGTGGGAGGGGATTACTCTTAAGTAAAGCAAGGAACAGAAGGGAAACACAATTTGGAACACAGCAAGGGGCTGCTATTGATGGATGTTTGTGCAGAAAAACCCCTGAAGGTTACAAAATCAAGAGAACAATTGCAAAAGAGAAGCAACGTCAAATTAAGGCCTGCGGATCCAACTCTCTTCGTGGCCTATAGGCATAATGTTGAAGGGAATTCAGACCCCTTTCTCTTCCCCTCCCCTCCTCTCTCCTTTCTTTTCTCCTTTTCTTTCCCCTTTTGTTTCCTTCCCTTCCCTTCCTCATCCCTTCCTCATCTCTTTTCCTTCCTTCCTTCCTCCTCCCCTCTCCTTTCCCCTTCCTTTTCTCCTTCCCTTTCCTTCCCTTCCTCATCCCTTTCCCTCCCTCCTTCCTTCCTTCCTTTCTCTTTCTTTCCTCCCTCCCTCCCTCCCTTTTTCCTTTCCCCTTATCTTCCCCCCCCCACCCTGCCACTTTCCCATCCATCCATCCATCTGATCTCTTGCCTGCATTAGAATTCCTCATTGCAAAAAAAATGAGTGCACATCTCCAACCTCAAAGGTGGACTGTTTTCATCCGTTTTGATGGTGTGTATGTGTATGTGTGTGTGTGTAATAAGTCCTTCCAGCCCCCCTCCATCAGAACTAATGAAGCTGACTCAGAATCTCCCCAGACAAGGGGGTCCACCTCAAAGCTCGGGATTCTGTAGTGTTTGGGGTGGGAGAAGCTAATAGCCTTGATCCCAGCAATAAAAGGCAAGCAATCCGTTAAATCTGATCCCAGTTAAATCTTTCAAAGCAGAATTTCTTCACATGAGTTTGAAAAGCCCAGGAAGGTGTGATTTGACAGCTGGAGGGCTTAGAAGTTGTCACTTTTTTTTTATTTTTGGCATCAAAGTAATGACCAGAATAGACTTTGCTTTTCTCCCCTCTTTTCTGAATGCATTTATCCCCAATCAAAGTGAATATTCTTCACAGTTTGACCTTTTGAAAATTGTCAGAGTGAGATTACAGACGTTAGCTTCTTTTGACTCGCAAGTCAGAAGGAAAAAATTGTTGAATTGTTGAAATCCAATTTGGACAGTGACCTTGGGGGCACTTGGGGAAGCTACACCCAGCCAAGATGGGTGACTCAGAATTGGCCTATCAAGACCAAAGCAAACAGTCTACATAAGCAACTAAACTTGGGATTATTCAGACTGTAAAGGGGGATGGTCTGGAGCCGTGCTGAAAATATCTGTATTTCCATTTTGCCTGATCTCTTTTCGGTTGGATGAATGAGAAGTACATTTGAAATGTCTTCAGAAGAGTGTGTGTGGTCCTCCTTTAAAGCCGTGGGTGGACTTCAACTCCCACAATTCTCCAGGCAGCATGACCACTGTTGAGCTTTCTGGAGGCTGATGTTTCCCCATCTGGAAGTCATCCAACTTGGACTGTAGCAGGTCTTACTTGCTGTCCCAAAAGGCAACTGGACTTTCTTACTTTTTGGAAAAGCACCTTTGGGACCACCATAACCTGGATGATTGAGAATCTCCACAGACATCTTACTTGCTGGTGAGAATTGAGAGGGGGTTGGTCTTGACTGCCACTAACAATATATCCATATTCGTAGGGGAAGGAGTAGCAGAATATGGGGGTGGAGTTAAAAGAGGAATCAGTCTGGAATCCTCACATAGCCACAAGCAGACTTAAGTCCAATCCTCCTTGAGTTATGCTGAGCCTCATCTAATGGTTAGCACATGCTAGGAGTTAGATAAGGGTTAAGTAATTCAAGGGATTTAGCTTGCTTGCAGCTATGCAGAGATTCTAGGCCAGGCATGTTAAACTCGCGACGTCGTGCAACATATTGGGCTGGTTTTGCCATTGCCGGCAATGGGGCGGGCACGGCTTCCACGTAACCCGTCCGGCCCGTGGGCCGGCAGTTTGATACCCCTGTTCTAGGCTGATCCCTCTTTTAATTCTGTCTGCAAGTTCTGTCACTGTTTTTAACAATATTCCCAATACCAGCCTTTGCAGTATACAAAGCCAGCCAGGTGCACAGTGGAGTGTTTGCATAATTTTAGGACTTCGGAAATAAATTTCCGGAACTGTTCTTTTAATTTGGGAGGAAGCAGGAAGGGAGTCAGTAAAAGGAATGAGGAAGTATAACTTCTATCCAAATGCAATTAATCCTGTAGACCAGGGGTCCCCAATCTTGGCAACTTTAAGACTTGTGGACCTCAACTCCCAGAATTCCCCAGCCAGCATGGGAGTTGCAGTCCACGGGGTCTTAAAGTTGCCAAGGTCGGGGACCCCTGCTGTAGACATAAGAAAGGAGAAGGCATGTATCTGGGAAAATAATTTGTACACTCTGCTGGTTCTATTGTTATTTTTTTAATAGAACAGCTTTTCCATTTATTTGTTTCATGATGCTCAATTATTTATTCATCTTAAGTACCATCACAAGCCCTGAGTTTTCAAGGATGAGTCAGGCTGCAAGTCTAATAGTTAGTTTTACAAATCAGTGTGTGCTTATGTAGATACTTCAAGCGAGGCTAAAAATAGCAGGGAAGGTTGGTTGGTTTAAAAAAAATGCCTTGTGTCTTTTTAAGAAAGCAAAATATTTGTACATTTGGTTCTTGTCATAACTAGCCATATGTGCTATACACTTAAACGGCACCTCTAGGAAAGTGATGTTCAGTTTCATAAGCTTTACTAATCGGTTGCAAGCAGTGGTAACTTTGCTGGAAAACAGGTTTTGTGGTCCTTTGACAGGGGGATAAGTATAAAAGTACAGATGGCAGGGACCAGCTCAATATATATGGACGCTCTTTACTTATGCACTCACAAAATGTACTGATGGAATATTTGCAGCTCAAGTTTGAACTGTGGGGGCTTTGGTGTTCTCTGAACTTGGTTGTTTTTTGCACACATTTTGTGACCTGACTAGGTAACACCATCAGTGTTAGGAAGGGAGAGGGTTTGCTCTGTTATGCAAACCCCACAATTTTCTAGCACTAATAGTGTGCTAGAAGGGAGTGGGGTTTTCAGAGGGAGGAGGAGGAGGAGGAGGAGGAGGAGGAGGAGGAGGAGGAGGAGGAGGAGGAGGAGGAGGAGGAGGAGGAGGAGAAGAAGAATGATTGTGGAGTCATTGGTGGTCTCTGAACTTGGTTATTTTCTTGCAGATGTTTCATTACC